TACTCTTTACGGGCCGGCCCAGTGGTGCACTGCTACAGTGTGCCGCTTGGGAGCGCGGCGGCGCTCCCGCCGAGGGTTCGGATCCCACATACAGACCGGCCGCTCACTGGCTGAGCGAGGTGCGGGCGCAACACCGAGGGTTGCAATCCCGTTGCCGGTCCCGGTCCGGTACGGGCGTGACACTGAGGGTTGCGATCCGTTGCCGGTCACGAGAAAAGACAAAAAAGGAAAAAAAAAAATTGTATTACCATTCACTCTGTTGTCTCTAATTCAGATTTTCACTTCTGCTCTGGATTTTTAATATATGTTCTGGGTCAGCAACATCTTCCATTTCACGCACTGGCTTTTAAAAGTCTTCAGTACACTTCAAATCCTCTTCCTTTACAGTTAACCTCACTTCCCACTTCAGAAGAGGAAGTCATAAGGCAGCAAGATCCTGACCTTCCAACTCCTATTCCCACAAAAGTACACTAATTTTCCCTCTAATATCAGTGGAATCAAGGCTAATCCTTCCAACTATTATTCTCTGGAGCCAACTTTTCAACTTGCTCAAGGACCTCCCTCTCCACAGGCTTTTGGCCCCAAGCATACAAATATGCTTAAGTCTTCCTTCAGAAAACTGACCTTCCTTGAGCCTATGTCTCATTTTTAGTTACTCACCTCTCTTCTTTCTTTAAAAACCAAGCTCTGAAAAGAATAGTCTAGATAAGCAGTTCTCAAACTTTTTGGTCTCAGGACCCCTGTACACTCAAAAATTCTTGAGAACCCTAAAGGGTTTCTCAGGAATTAAAACAAATTTTAAAATATTTATGTTTAATTCATTTAAAAATAAACCCATTGCCTATTAACATATTTTTATTAAAAATAACTATATTTTCAGGACTGGCTGGTTAGCTCAGTTGGTTAGAGTGTAGCCTTATAACACCAAGGTCAAGGTTTCCTATACCAGCCAGCCACCAAAAAAAAAAAAAACCTATATTTTCAAAAAGAAATAAATTTTAGTGAAAAAACTGGCATTGTTTTACATTTTTACAAATCTTTTTAATATCACCACTGATCTCATCAGAAAAGTCTTTAAGTATTAAGAAGCTGTTTCTGTTGCTTATAACAAAATCCATGGAATTGGGTAATTCGTAAGAAAATGAAATTTTCTGCTTACAGTTTCAGAGGCTAAGAAGTCCAAAGTCCAGGGAACACATCTGGTGAGAGTTTTCTTTGGTGGTGGCTTTACAGCAATGCAGAGGTCTCACATGGCAGAAAATGGCAGAGCAGAAAGAGACTAACCTCTCGTGCTCTTCTTTTACAGCCTTCAGAACCACACCTTCGACCGCCATTGTTAATTCATTCACTACAGCGTGGTCCTACAATCTGATCACCTTCTCGAGGTCCCACCTTTTAATTACTATAATAGGATTTTCCACACTCAACAGTTACAGTGGGAATTAAGCTTCTAATATATGAACTTTGGAGACTCAATTCAATCAATCCACAGCACTGACAAATTCCAGTTGGTGGATACAAGTTTTCTAAAATTCTAATTTTTTGGCCTGAACCATGCAATTTTACCATTGACAACAAATACTGTTTTTCCTTAAAGTAACAAGCAAACTTTACTTTTTATTTTCACTTAATTACTGAGAAAATATTTGCTGCACATGCAAAGCTGAATCTTTCAAGTAAAAATGTGTTCCATGAAAGAAGCCAGTCAACTAGCAATGTGAACAATTACTGAAGTGGTTTTCCTTAAGACAACCATCATACTTCACTATATAGCAGAAACACTTTATGAGTACTTCCCATTTCATCACATGGAATGTTAAAAAGACATATACTCAAAAGTTGAGATTTAAATAAAATTATATTTTGTACTGCTTTATCAAGGACATTCTTAAATGAAACTGACATTTAAAAAAAATTATTGATGCATGGTGGTGAAAAATATAATGACTATTAGCATAGTCTGGTGCTAATGCCTTTATTCATACTAAGGTGAAAGGTGAAAGCCATTTTACACACCAATGCTTTTATACCATCAGTGAAAATGTCAACATGGTGAAAAAGGCAAATAACATCTTAGTATTACCAAAATGGCTTTGACCTCATACTTTGAAAAAGTTTCAGGGATCCTCAGAGGTCCATGAGCCACACTTTGAGAACTGCTGGTCTAGGCTTAACTTCTCTATTTCCTCCTGTCCCATTCCCTCGTAAGCCCACTAGTCTGGCTTCTATTCTCAGAAGGCCATTATATATTACAAGGGCACCAGTGATGTCCCAACTGCTAAGTCCAGTAAATATTTTCACTGTTTATCACTTTCATTATCCACACCTCTGCAGTATTTCACCCAACTGATCACTTTCTCCTTGAAACTCTATCCCATTTCTAGCATACCATTCCCTCTACAATTTCTGGCCATTTCTCAATCTTCTTTGCAGGCTCCTCTGCTTCTACCCACTTTGTACATGTTGGTATTCCTAGGATTCCAAACTTGGCTTTCTTACTCATCCTGCCTTTTCAGGATGATCTCTTCACTCCTATGGCTGATTACTTTCAAAACAGCTATCTACCCCAGACCTCCCTACTAAATCTATATACATATGTATGTGTATATATATTGTGTGTTTTTATATATACATGCACATACATACATATGTAAAACTATGTATTAGACATGTCCAATCGAATGTCCTACTGACACCTCAATATCAACATGTACAAAAATGAATTCATCTTCTTTTCGCATCAAGTCTGTCATTCTTCCTGTATTTCCTATCATGATGAATGGTCCTGCCATGTACTCAGCTACCCTAGCCAGAAACTTGGGAGGTATCCATGACTCCCCACCTAACCCCCAGCCATCCATATTCAATCTATCATCCAACACTATCAGTTCTATCTTCTAAATATCTCTGTTGCCCTTACTGTTTCTTCACCTCACAGCCACAGTTCAGGCTCTCTGCCTTAGTTAGTAGCTCACCCTGTACTAAGCTATAGTTATTCCAACAACTTCGTAAGTGATGCCCTATCTCTAACCTAGCCACACTTTAACCCATTATCCACAATGCCACCAGAGCAGCGTTTCTAAAATGCTGATCTGATCATGCCATTCCCCTGATTTAAACTGTTTAGGGTTTCTCTTTGTCATCGTGATGAAATTCAAACTTTTCACCATGACATACCAAATCCTTTATGATCCAGTCATCTCTCTCTCTCCTTCTAAAACACTACATTGCATTCATACTTCATTTCCTCAAACATGCTAAGTGCTACATGTACATGTCTTTACATATTTATACTCATATATATATGAGAGCCCACCTCATTTCACCTAGCTACTGCTACTTATCTTAAGGTTCAACTCAGATGTCATCTCTTGCAAGAAACCTCCTCTAACCTTCACTGACCACCCCCGCCCCCCGTCACGGTTAGGGGCCTGTCTTATATGTTTGTAGAAATAAACTTAAATTGTACTACAATAAAAACCGGAGTAAGACATAATAATGTTATTTTTAAAATACAGTTTCATATGTATATTAATTTGCATGTGTTGCTATGAGTTTGCAAATTTTAAAATGTAAAACATATCATTTTTTTACAATTTAAGTATATTACATATTAGGGCTGAAGCTTCACTTTTTATTTCTTCCGTGACCCTTCAGAACAAATAAATTTTTAACTAAATGATAGTATCTTGCAGATACATAATACTTTATAGTTTTCAAAGCATTTTTACAAACATCTAAGGCTACAACATCCACATTGCTACAACATACTCACTGAGTTAGGAAAGCTAGGTTTCAACCCAACTTTGCAGGAGGGGAAAATGAGATACAGGAAAATTTGCTTAAGGTTGCTTAGTCAGTAAAGTACCCAATCTAGAATTCAAGCCTTCTGATTCTCAATCTAGCACTCTTTCCATCAGATGATGATCTATATTTAGCAGATATTCAACAGGAATTGTTTTGCCAATGAAACAAGCAATCAGTGACCATTGCAGATGAAAGCATCATTTTCAAGGTAAACTGCCTGGCCCTTGAAATGGGCCTTCCTTCTAATATATATAACCCACTGCATTAAATCTTTCCAAACTCTCTAATTGTAAGCAGAGATAGATTTTTTCCCATTTTTCCATACATTGTCTTGCTTCCCCTTCTTTTTTATTTTTTTTATTTTTTTTATTTTTTTTAAAAGATGACCGGTAAGGGGATCTCAACCCTTGGCTTGGTGTTGTCAGCACCACGCTCAGCCAGTGAGCAAACCGGCCATCCCTATATAGGAGCCGAACCCGTGGCCTTGGTGTTATCAGCACCGCACTCTACCGAGTGAGCCATGGGCCGGCCCTTGCTTCCCCTTCTTTGAGTTCCTTTTTCTCTCTTCCATTTTGTCCTTTCAGTTCATTTTTAAAAACTTTTCTACCTAATTTCCTCATTTTTGGGGGGCGGGGGGATGCCTGCTGGTATAAGGATCCCAAACCCTTGACCTTGGTGTTACAAGGTGGTGCTCTAACCAACTGAGCTAATTGGCCAGCTCACTTTCTAATCTCTTAAATTCTCATAAACTTGAAGCTATTATACTATAAATGTCTCAATGGCAATACCAAAACTGGAATTTATTCTGCACCTTTTTAAAAATTAAATATTTAAAAATTTATAACCTCCCAAATGTGTTAAGCTAGTGATAGTTCTCTAAAATACCTTCAAGTATTGTGATAGAAGCATCTTACCTGAAGGTCTGTGCTTTAACTGCTTATATAGATCAATGGCACGCTGTTCCCTACAAAAGAGAAAACATGCTTCTATATGTGACAGTAATTTTAATGATTCCAGTAACCCACAACTTGAAATGAACAATATTGGTTATAGTCATGTGCTGCATAATGACATTTTGATCAATGACAGACCACATATGTGACAGTGGTCCCATAAGATTATAATGGAGCTGGAGGTGTGTAGTAGGTTTGTGTAAGTATACTCTATGATGTATACCATCTAGGTTTGTGTAAGTATACTCTATGATGTTTGCATGATGAAACTACCTAATGATGCATTTCTTAGAATGTATCCCTGTTAAGTGATGCTTTACATATTGTCAATGAATATTTTACAGAGGATTTCATTCAGAAATAAGCAAGAACTATAGAAGTTCTTAAAATGTAAAGTTTAATATACTTCATATCTGCACTTATCTACCACTACAAATATATCATCCTTGCACAAGAAACACTTAAACAGGCAAAAATTATGGCCTGTGACTAAAGAAAAAAAATCTGAAGTTTCTAATCTAGACACTTGGGAAGTTAACCTCATTTAGGGCATTTAGGAGGCAATACCTTGGACTAGAAGTATAGTAAGTAGGGAAATAGTTTGTAACTTAGATATACTTGGAAAATTCTTAAAATTCACATGAAAAAGATTTAAAAAGCAAAGAAGGTCAACCCAAAGAGTTATTTCCAAAATTTTCTATAATTAAGAAAAAGCTTTCTTTTTAAATATGATGCCAATACATCTAGGGAAAAGAAAACTATAGAGAAGAACCACGCAGAGGCTTCATTTGCCAGATGTAAGCAGAAAGAACAATCTGCTACAAAAAATTACAGACATCAAGACCAACAACACAAGTACATCCTTACAGAGATTCCATCAAGTCACCCTGGCGTCTTCCATAGGGGCTCTTCTGTAGCTCCATGATTTCAGTGTGCAAGGACATAATCTGATCCTCCAGGTATCCAATGACACCAACCTAAATATGATGGAAACACAAAGGAAATGACAGACTTACCACTTACAATAATGAAACAAAACTCAGACCTTAAGGATAGTTAATGACTTGCTGGTAGTAAGAGAACTAATTTAATATGAAACTGATTTTGCTAAAGCCTTTTTATCTTTCAGATTCTGACACTTAATCTTTCACATAGGAACATACTTATTCCTGTGCTTCTCTCCAGACAACAGTAATCTACTGGGATTTGCTTTTCTTCTAAAGAATCAAAAAGGTAGATGTGTCACTAACAAGACAGAAAAAGTGGCTACCAAAACCATTGGTATTACCTGCATCTCAGCTCTATGATTTCCATTGCCTCTTGTTCCCAACTGCTTTGAATAAGGACACAGAAAGATAAAGATGCTGGATTTCCCACCCCAGGATACCAACTGTCCCACTCATTCCTTAGGGTAAGTACTGGTATCAAAGAGAGTAAAATCTAGGACCATGGGCAGATAAGGAAGGAATCTGCCATTTGGAGAATGACCTATACCTAGAGAGACCACATAATTTACTGGCCAAACCAGCATAATTTTGAAAGTGAAGGGGAGAACTATTGATAATTATGACAAGATATCAGGTATAAACCAGGACTGTCCTAGGTAAGCCAGAATGTACAGCCATCCTATCTAAACCAATCACAAATAGCAATTTTAAAAAAAGATAATAGCAATAACTACCACTTATTACTGACTTCCATTTGATCTTTATAACCCTACTAGCAAAGGTACTGTCCCCACAATACCATATGGAAACTCAATCTCAGTGAGGCTAAATAATTTGCCCAAAGCCCTAGTTTTTATCTACTATGGTACATCTCTCTATCTACACAAAGCATCTCCTAGATATTAGTCTGAAATTTGGGAATATACTCTTTATATTCCAAAACCAAGGACAATTTCTAAAGGAGACATCAAGAATTAATAAGCACACAGAATGATTTTACCTCAGCATAGTGGATGGCCTTTTCTTCCATTTCTTTCCATGCTTTTAGCATTTTTTCTGAAGCTTAAAAAGAAAAGTTAAAATCAGTTATCTCAGGAGTAACTATAGCTTTAATTTCTGGTGTAACTGCCTTCTTGCCATATCAACATAAAAGATGTGTTATGGGTTAAACTGTGTCCCCCCAAAAGATATGTTGAACTCCTACCCTATACCTCAGAATGTGGCCTTATTTGGAAACAAAGTTGTTACAGATGTAATTAATACTCATACTGGAGTAGGGTGGACCCTTAATCCAGTATGACTAGTGTCCTTATAAGAGAAGACATATTGGACAGCTGCCAAAAAAAAAAAAGAATAGACAAGACACAGGGATTTAGATACAAGGAGAGAATGCCATGTGACAACTGAGACAGAGATTAAAGTGCTGTAGCTGCGAGCCTAGGAATGCCAAGAATTGTTGGCAAACCACAAGAAGATAGGAAGAGGCAAGAAGGATTCTCCCCAACAGGTTTCAGAGGAATTAGCCCTGTCAACACCTTGATTTTGGACTTTCAGCCTCCAGAACTGTGAGACAACAAAGTTTGGTGTTTTTTTTTTTTTGCTGACCTTAAAATGTTTATCCTTTAAAAAGTTAATTGCTTTTTATACAGCTATGCAAAGTTCTTAATGTTTCTTTGGCAATGGAGTATAACGGAATTTTACAACTATATAAAAAGTTACCTTTGCCTAAGAAATAATATTTACTGTGTGTACACAGTTGACTGACAAAATTCTTTACCATCCAGCACCCTAATTAATTGACAAAATAAGCTACCTTACATTAAAGGATTTCAAAAAAGGGCTGGTTGGTTAGCTCAGTTGGTTTGAGCAGGGTGCTGACAGCACCAAGGTCCAGGGTTTGATCCCTGTACCGGCCAGACACCAAAAAAAATCAAAATTATAAAGGATTTCAAAAAAGAGAGAAAGATATAGTTATAGACACACACACAGCAGACACAACTTTCTGTGTCTCAAAACACAGTATCATGGCCCTTTCTGCAGGCAACTTGCAATAATTACCAAATACAACTTAGTGATAAGAAAAACCCTTTCAGTGATGAAAAATGCTTACGTCCCACTGAAGTACTGCTTTAGTTTAACTATACGTGATAAATTACTTCACCCTGTTATTTCAAATATATTTAATGATCATTTTTTAAGATGAGCCTTCCTCCCCCCAAAAGTAACTGCACTGTATATTTGAAATTAAGCTGAAAAACAAATAAACAAAAACCAATGCTGGTGACAAATATACAGCAAATTCACTTCATTCTTTTTTCTGCATAGTACATTTTCTTTATTGGTTATGAATATCCATGAGATACAAAGCTGATTGTCACTACTCATGCCCAAATGTGATGGCCAGATCCTCACTGGCAGCATGCCCATTACTACAAATTGCGATTATACCCTGTGTCCCCCACCCAATTATCCCCCACTTCCTCATTCTTCACAAAGACTGAAACCAATTTCCAGGACCATGAAAAGCTAGAAATTCACCTACATTTACTTAGATTTTTTGGGTTTTTTGGTTTGTTTTTGGCAGCTGGCCAGTAGGGGGATCCGAACCCTTGACCTTGGTGTTACAAGGTGGTGCTCTAACCAACTGAGCTAACTGGCTAGCCCAAATTTAACTATATTTAAGACTTATTTGTAGATTATGCAGCAACTTTGTTGTCTTTTCTGTATTCAAAATCTGCAAACTCTATGCCCCCAAGCCATCCCCTGAATCCACCATGAAATCCTTGAGAGGTGGTGAAGGTACCACCTCTGCTGCCACCATGCCCTCTGCCACCACAAAAACCCAGACCTCATCTGCCTCTGTATCTGTCACGGCCACAGTTTGGACGAAGTGGGATTCCAAATATTTCAGCATTTAATCTTCTTTCTTCAGCCCAGGTTGGTCTTCGTTCTCTATTATCATCACAAGAAATATTACCAAGGAAGGATTTAGTTTTGTCATAATAGCAATTAGGTCCAAGTGGATCTTCTCCATCAACATTTCCTTCATTGTTTTGGGTATCAACTCCTGAGTCTCCTTTATCTTCACCATTTACAGGTTTCTGCTGTTTCTTAAATTTATTATGAAACTCTCTTGTCAATCTCCTCCTTGTTAAATTGTTCATTTGCACTTTCAAAGTCAGTCTTTCTCAAATTTCATTAGGCTATCTTGCCAAATACCAAATCTCTTGCCACCTTGATGACCTCCACACCCTCTCCTTAGAGCTGAAGGAGCACCTGCAGTTACTTGTCTCTTGCTATCATTTCTGAGTTGCTCATTTTCTTGAAAGTTTGTGTATGTACTTCAGTTTGGCTGTGCTCTTGATTCTCTATTGCTTTTTGGCTGGTAGATGGCAATGGCCTGGTTGATACAGGGCTCCTTCTCCCAATGGTGCTGAAGCAGGTAAGTGAGCCGAGGCAGTATGTACTGCTTGTTCCATAGTTGGGCTTTTTCTCAAAGGGTCTAGGGCTTGAACAACCTTGAGTTAACTGTTTTTAGAGATCTTGTATCCTGTGTAAAGGCAGAACCAAGTGCACTACTTTGGGATAAGGTACCGCTATTTGATGTTTCTGTCCCAAAGGATGTCAAGGAGCTTCCAGCAACACCAACACCACCAAACTGCTACCTGAGTAATGAACTTGGACTGAATTGACTGTACGTCAGCATCCTGCCAAAAGTTCCAAAGGAACCCACTAACTGGAATGAAGTAGATGAGTCTAGCAAAGACTGAACATAGCTGGGCCCTGAGGCAAAGAACATTGTGGTTTTGGTGGCTCACAAACAATAAGGTCTTTAATACCAATCCCTTGGAATATAATGTATTCAAAGACTTCGTCTCAAGGTGGAGGATCTGTTGGTCTATCTTCTGTACCAAACAATCAAACTTTGGCGAGGGCTATGGTGGAGTTCAGTGTCAATGGTGTAGAGGATGCCCTTATAGACGATCTCCGCCTTGCAGATGAGGCTGATCTTGCTGCTGATGTAAGGGGTGCCCTGGCTCATGGAGCCGCTGGGGGCTGCTCTGAGAGAGGCAGAAACCATGCCGCTGTGGCCATTCCATTGGCACCTACGGCAGCCGCCTCAGACCCATCATGGCAGTGCCACCAAATTTCTGTTGTTTTAAGCCACCCAGCTTACAATATTTTCTTATGGAAGGCCAAGGAAACTAATACATGGTTTTCTCTTTAAAAAAAATTTTTTTACAGTAATACTTGAACATGATTTTTTAAAAAAGCAAATACTATAAAAGCATATAAAAAGAAAAGACTCTTCCTCCTGTCTACCTTGCACCCCGAAGAATATTACTACTATGATTATTTGTTACATAGACATACCCTAATCCCTCAAAACTGAAACCATCTATAAACACTTTTTTCTTTTTTTTCCACAACTTAAAACATCACTGCCAATTAAAGACCCAGGTGATCTTTTAATATCAGCACATAAAGATCTACCTCATTCTTTTTTAACAGTTCTATAATATGCCTTTGACAAGTCAAATATATTTAATAAAATAATTATAATGTTTGGTCATTCACCAGAATGCCCATAATACATCAATAGAACTAAAACATCAATCATAGAACCAGCTCTGAAGAGTAAATGTATTCACCCAATTGGACTCTGTTGATCATTTATTCTGAGATACACATACCTTGCTCAGGACAAGCGTACAACCATATTTGTTTCCTGAAAAAGGATTTGTTTCATGAAAGAAAACAGAAATGCTGGTGGTGACCCCTTCACTCTACTTGAATTTTAACTCTGCTTTTTATATTTCCTTCGTATATCTGAAGGGAGATAAGTTCCAAATACTAAAACTTTGGAGACTGTGTACAATAAACAACAGTAGGACTCCATAGTAGGTGGTTTGGAAAGAAACATATTTCTTGGAAAGAAACATCCTTGGTATTATTTGTGTTGTTTACAGGAAGATAAGTAGTTTGTCCATTTGGGCTGCTATAAAAAAAAAAAAAAAACACTATAGACTGGGTGGCATATAAACAACAGAAATTTATTTCTCACAGTTCTGGAGTATGGGAAGTCCAAGCTTGGTGTCTGGTGAGGGCCTGCTTTCTTTTTCATTGATGTCTTCTCACTGTGTCCTCACATGGCAGAAGGGGTAAGGGATCTCATTCAGGCCTCTTTTACAAGGGCACTAATCTCATTCATGAGTGCTCCACTCTCAAGACCTAATTAATCACCTCCTGAAGGCCTCAGCTTTCAATACCATCACCTTGGGGGTCAGAATTTCAACATATGAATTTTGAGGGGACACACACATTCAGTCTACAGCACTAGCTAAGAAATTACTCCAGATACATTTTGTATCCAAAAAATGAGGTTTTAAATTCAGATTCTTAAATTATTTCTGTATTTTTCTGGAGCTAAATAATTTTAGTCCAATTGTAAAACTAAGTTGTCAACTAGGGGATTTAAAAAAAGAGCTGACATTCAAAACAAACATGGTTTGTGATGATTTAAGTTGTCTTGTCTCTTGTTCTAATGTGAATGAAACAACTGGCTATGAGTCAAGAAGGCAAAAGAAAGAAGCCTTCAAGAGATTAGACATTCCTTTCAAATACATTACCCAGACACTTACATATTCCATAAGTCATCTGCTCACTATATCTCTCCAAGTCAAGCTGAATGCTTTTGTGAAAAAACTCCAATTTAGCTTTCAGTTGCTGCGATGCTGAGATCAAAGTGTTCTTCATTTTTGTCAAGTTAGCATTATACCTAAGAAGACTTAACCTAAACCATAGCAAAAAAATAAAGAATAAAGGATATCGTCAGCATGCAGAAACATGCACAAAAATTTAAAAACATAAACTGCCACAAGCCCAAAGCCTAAGTTTATATTATCAATCTACAAGAAATAGCTGATCTCTAGAATCTGGTCTCTAAAGACTTACTGCCTGTGATATTCTATGATAAACAATGTTCTTATACTAGGATTGTTCAGGAACTACTACTCTCAAGCCATTGCAATTGGATGGTTTCAGACAGTTAGTAAAAATTCCACAAGTCTGATCAAAATATTACATTTCGAATTGGCCCAATATATTAGTAATACATGGAATATTGATTACTGAAAACTGGCAAGATTGTTTCTTGACTACACATGGCATTGTGCTTATAAACAACAGAATCCACTTACATTGCTGCTCTTTGTCCCTGAAAGAGCCTGCTGTAGTCTTCTTTTAGCCCAGACACATAGTGCACTGCTTCAGCCCATACTTTACGCAGCTGTACAATTGGAAGCTGTATTTTGCTGTCCTGTACTACAAGCAAGAAGATGAAAGGGGAAGGGAATTACTTTTCAAGATTTTAGAATTCATCTATCATTCTCTGTGATCTCCTGAACACACAAATAGCATTCCCAGATGTGATAGAAACTGACAGTAGAAAGAACCACTTGTTATGATTTAATTCAGTTCAATACTGAGCACCTGCAAGATACAAGCTCTGCTCCAGATACAAGGAAAAATAAAAATGAATGACATAATCAGTACCCTCACAGAGCATAAGATTATTCCTATATCTGCCTTTTTCTTGCTTCTCTCCAACCTGGAACACTCTCTTTCTCTCTGCTAATCCAAATTCTTTATTTCTTTTAAGTTCTAAATCAGATCCCATCTCTTCCACAATACACCATCGTCTTTCCTGTTTCTGAATAATAAATTTCATCGCCTGGACCACCAGCCCAGCCTCAAGAAAATATGAGGGGGCCGGCCCCGTGGCTCACTAGGGAGAGTGCAGCGCTGGTAACGCCGAGCCTGCGGGTTCGGATCCTATATGGGGATTACCGGTGCGCTCACTGGCTGAGCGTGGTGCAGACCACACCGTGCCAAGGGTTGTGATCCCCTTACCGGTCAGAAAAAAAAAAAAAAAAAAAGAAAATATATGAGCGTACTTCAAAAAGTTCATGGAGGGGCCGGCCCGTGGCTCACTCGGGAGAGTGCGGTGCTGATAACACCAAGGCCATGGGTTCAGATCCCATATAGGGATGGCCGGTTTGCTCACTGGGTGAGCGTGGTGCTGACAACACCAAGCCAAGGGTTAAGATCCCCTTACCGGTCATCTTTAAAAAAAAAAAAAAAAGTTCATGGAGGACTGGCAGGTTCACTCAGTTAGAGCGTGATGCAGATAACACCAAGGTCACAAGGTTAAGGGTTCAGATCTCTTTACCAGCCAACAACAAACAAACAAAAAGTTCATGGAAAGATGCATATTATTTATTTATTTTGGGGGTGCGGGCAGCTGGCCAGTACAGGGATCAAACCCTAGACCTTGGTGTTTTCAGAACCATGCTCTAACTGAACTAACTGGCCAGCCCTCATATTATCTTTTAATTCTACTTTTCCACAAACTTTTTGAACTACCCTCATACAGGTAAATGGCAGTTTAATAAGGTATGCTTTCTTCAATGTCAGACTTAGAAATTCCATTTTATGGGGCTGTCCAGTTAGCTCAGTTGGTTAGAGTGTGGTGTTAAAACACCACAGTCAAGGGTTCAGACCAGCCACAAAAAAAAAAAAAAAAAGAAAGAAAGAAAATTCCATTTTAACGTCCTGAAATTCTCCTACATTTAAAATGACAAGTATATTCTCTGTTATTCTTTTCCAGTGTTAAGGTTTCCAATGAAAACCTTCAGAGAAAGGTTAAGCAAAACTTACTACACGAGTGTTCATAATGAGAAAACACATTATCTGAAGCAGACTTTAAAAAAACAAAGCTATATATCTGGAAAAATCTTTGCCTTCCTTAATAATTATTAATAGCTTCAATTAACCTTTATTTGATTCTCATGTACCCACACTTCCTCCTGTGGCTTCTTACAATAGACAAAAAAATAAAAAATAAAAATCAATCATTTGAAAAAAAAAACGGTCTGGGGGAGGGAAGCCTGACTCCCACCCCCCAAATCATATACTTTAAAAAATAAAGTCTGAAAGAGCCTAAAAGAAATGATACCATAGTAGCAATGAGCACACCTAGTGCCCATATCTTGGCTTCTAATTCCATTTTCCAATAAAAAGAACCAGAGTTCCTTGGAGATATGGCTGATTCTAGAACCAGGGCAAGAAACACAAGATGAACCTACAGTATTTTGTAGTATCAGAATGTAAGGAAGTGCTAAGAAATAAAAAAACAAAGACAACTCACTGATGGGGGCATGTAAAAGAGGTAGAGGAGCTAACTGATAGAACGCCTAATGGCCAAAGCTGGAACAATTTGAGCAACAAAATAAACTAGTATTGGATTATAATCCAAAGTACAATATAAATATCCTTGAGTCCATACTGATATAAATAAATAATTGGATAAATTAACATGTGGGAGAGAAGAGACAAATTTCCTGTGCAGAAGAATTCCAATTAATTATGTAGATACTCTACTCTAAAGGAAGGGAGCATAAACTCCCTACTCTTTTTTTTTTTTTTCTCTCTAAAGATGACCGGTAAGAGGATCTTAACCCTTGACTTGGTGTTGTCAGCACCAAGCTCACCCAGTGACCTACCAGGCCATCCCTATTTGGGATCCAAACCCATGGCCTTGGTGTTATCAGCACCACACTCTCCCGAGTGAGTCATGGGCCGGCCCCAAACTCCCTACTCCTTAAGTGTAGGGTATGCATGGTGACTTCTTTCCAAAGAATACAGAATGGAAAAAGGGAAAAAAGATTAAACTTTACAGTGGAGAAACCTGACAGACACTACCTTAGCCAAGTGATCAAGGTCAACACCAACAATCATAAATCATGTTGGTAGTATGTATCCTTTATATGTGATAGAAATGTCATTTTATTTGTGTGCTCTTTCTCTCAAAAGCCCATAATCTCAGTCTAATCATGAGAAAAAAAAAATAAGACAAATTCCAATAGAGAGGCATCCAACAAAATACTTGACCAATACTCCTCAGAACTGTCAAGGTAATCAAAAACAAGGAAAGTCTAAGAAATTGTCACAGCCTAAGAAGACATGACAACTAAATGACAAGACATGGCAATAATCCTGTATGGGATCTTAGATTAGAAAAAGGGCATTAGGGGGCCGGCCTGTGGCTCACTCGGGAGAGTGCGGTGCTGATAACACCAAGGCCACGGGTTCGGATCCCATATAGGGATGGCCGGTTTGCTCACTGGGGTGAGCATGGTGCTGACAACACCAAGTCAAGGGTTAAGATCCCCTTACCGGTCATCTTTAAAAAAAAAAGAAAGAAAGAAAGAAAAAGGGCATTAGGTAAAAACTAAGGAAATATGAATAAAGTATGAACGTTAGTTAATAATAACATATTGGTTCATTAATTGTAATACATGTACCATACTAATGATAGGATGTTAACAGTAGGGGAAACTATATGTGTGAGAAAGGGGGGTTACATGAGAACTCTGTAGTGTATGCTCAATTTCCCTGTAAACCTAAAACTGTTCTAAAAAATGTTTATTAGTAAAAAAATTAAAAATAAAAAAGTAAGCTCTGGGGAAGGGATGATTGAATGGAAAGAGACATGAGGGAACTTTCTAAGGTAAAGGAAATGTTCTATATCTTGACTGTGGTATGGATTACAGAGGTATATACATTTGCCAAAAATCATGGAACTATACAATCTGTGCATTTCTCTATAAAGTACATAAACTATACCTCAATTTTTAAAAATTCAAAAGAAAATAAATAGGTAACAGAGAGGAAAGATTACATACAGTAGTCTCCCCTTATCCATGGGAGATACATTCCAACATCCCCAGTGGATACCTGAAAATGTTGATAGTACCAAACCCTATACATACCATGTTTTTTTGATCTGATAACCAAGAAGGCTACTAAGTGCTAACAGGCGGGCAGCGTATACAGCATAGATACGCTGGTCAAAGGGATGATTCACATCTGTGGTTGCATGGAGTGGGACAGAGTAAGACTTCCTTAAGCTATTCAGAACAGTGGGCAATTTAAAACATGAATTGTTTACTTCTGGAATTTTCCATTTAATATTTTTGGACTAGGCCGGCCCATGGCTCACTTGGTAGAGTGTGGTGCTGATAACACCAAGGCCACGGGTTCGGATCCTATATAGGGATGGCCGGTTTGCTCACTGGCTGAGCGTGGTGCTGACAACACCAAGCCAAGGGTTGAGATCCCCTTACCGGTCATCTTTAAAAAAATACATATATATATATATATATATATATATATATATATTTTCGGACTGTTGTTGATCACAGGATAACTGGAACCTCAGAAAGGTGAATCATGGACAAAGGAGAACTATTATATATTTTAGCCCCTATGCCCAATTTTGTTCTTGATTTTACAATTCTGAGCTTGATTTTAGTTTGGGTAGCCATAAATTGATCAAATACTTAACTTCTTCAAACAAAAGAATAATTTTCACAGGATAAATTAAAACATTTGAACATCAAACAGTATTCATAGAATAAAGTGAAATAAATATTTGAACATGCCTAGATAATGAAGAGACAATTAAAAAGTAGGTTTAATTAACAGTTGAGTTTCATTCTCCTATCTGTGAGAGTACTATCCTCAGGAAAGTAAGTCATCTACTAAGTGAGGAATAAGGTGGTGATTTTAAATTTGCCTTTTCACCTTCCAAACTACATAAATCTATTTTTTTTTACCACAAATAGAAACCTTAAGTGTGAGAGATATAGAACAGAAACATCAAAATGCCATTTCTACTAATCAAATTGAGAGTCAAAATTGTATTACTTCAAGTTTAAAGCTTAGTCACTAAATAAATTATACTTACCAATATAATTTACACAATCAGATAAACTTCTGGAAGCAAATGGCCCTTCATATACAGTCTTACTTTTATCAAACAAATAAACCATATAGCTATCACAGCCTCTCTGAAAAAGAAACAAACAATTAAAACTCTGCTCAAATATCCTTGAAAATCCCAGGTTCCCTAAATACTTAAGAACCAGATTTCTTACTCCGAAATGCAAATTAACAAATTCAATGTCCATTAGCATACATCTTACAGATTTAAGGTATAAACTTTTGTTTAGGAAAAAAAAAACTTTAGCACGGGCTAAAGTGAAAAACCATCACCAGACCCTCAAAAGAACAACTTCAAAAAGACATATATCCATACAATAAAAATACTATTCAGTAATCAAAAGGAATAAAGTACTGATACATGCTAAAACATGGATAAGCCTCAAAAATATAATGCTAAGTGAAAGAAGTCAGACACAAGAGTCTACATATTGTATGTTTCCATTTATAGAAGATGTTCAGAAAAGGCAAATCTATAGAGATAGATTAGTGGTTGTGTGGGGTGGGCAGAATGGAGATAAACAGTTAATGGACATGAGGGATCTTATTGAGACAGAAATGTTTTTAAACTGATTTATGGTGATAGTTGCACAATTTGGTAAATTTGCTAAAAAAATCACTGAACTGTGCACTTGAAATGGGTCAATTATATGATATGTAAAATATGACTCAATAAAGTCATAAGAAGAAAAATGAAAAAAAAATAAAATAATGACCACAATCATATTTTACCACCCATGTATTCTCTGGCAGGACTTATGAGACCGTTAGTCTAATTTCAAGGTTCTAGGCTTCAAATACAAGAAGAAAAAGAAAGTGGGAGGAAAGAACTGGCACCAAAGAGAAAGTTGTTCAGAGTTCAAAAGAACAAGTGTTTCACTTCTATCTTGTTCACCTTAGAAACCAACGATAAGAGTCACAAGTAGAACAAAACTAAAAGAATTATTATAAGATGTGCACCACCTCCAAGGGATTCCAAATATGCATCAAAAAATAAAGGTGGGCTGGTCGCTTAGCTCAGTCGGTTACAGTGTGGTACTATAACACCAAGGTCAAGGGTTTGGATCCCCATACTGGCCAGCACCCAAACAAAACAAAACAAAAAAAAAAAGAGAGAGGCACGCAATCCCTCTATACAAAAAGATTTCTTATACTATAGGTATATTAGAATTCTCTTACAACTCCATCTAGAACACATTGAGAGGCTGGTTTTCGAGGATCCAGAGAAATTCCCGTCTCTGAAAGAAGCTCTTGAGAACCAGTATTTATTCCAGTTTCATGCTCAATACGAGATTGTAGTGAATGAAGACTTTCATCAGGTGGTAACAGAAAAGAAATTATCTTTGCAGAAGTCATATTTAGGATGTGTACTATCTGTATAAATAAGAGAAAAGATATATTTATCAGTTGCTACATTGAAGACTCAGTGCAATATTCTAAAAGGGGAATATGAGCAAAAGGCCTTATTTCTACACTAAACAAGGTTCACTCATTCTCCAGTGAGATCTTCTATAATTATAAAATGACATTCTGAAAACTGAAGAATAGTTTACTTTTCTACTACAATAGATCTTAGTTCCAACAAATAAAATTTGAAAGTTCTAGGGATAGGCAAAATCAAGAAATAAAAATCCCAATTTAAAAAAACAACATTTATTTATTTTGAGAAACATTATCATAGACCTAGAAGGAAACATTCCCATTTATGAAGTAACTAATAGATGCCAATCACAGAGTTAAGTGCTTTCACATAACATCCCCATTAATTAGATCTTCTAACACCATTTTAGCAGAGGGAGAAACCAGAGCTCTAAGAAGCTAAATAACTTGTTAGGGCTCAAACAGCTGATAACTAGTAGAGCTTTGGTCTGATCTCCAATCTGTTGGACTACCTCATGTTTCCTTAAGAAATAACCATCCGACAGAAGAGCTACACTTCTCTTTAAACAGGAAAAAGCATTGTTATCCTCATAAAGCAACCAAATCCCTGAGCAGTGACTTGCCTGAGAGCCAAAAGTTAGATAAGAAAACAGTCTTATTACTTTAACTTAAAGCCCAGTGAAAGTAGCCTGATACAAGGCCAAGTGAAAGTGAGGTTGAGTCAGGTGGGGCTCTACCCAGGTAACCAAGGATAGCTAGAGTTGAAGGTCAGTCTTTTGAACACTCTTCCTTCCACTGTCCTTAGATAAGCCACACAAAATTAATACCTATGTTTCTCCATACCTTACATTGACTTGTATATGCAAATGATTAAAATTATCTCTGCTGGAAATCCTTACTGCAAAGGTAAAGCATTAATCCAAGGCCACTATAATCTTTCCCTCTTAAAATACAAATCACAGCACCCCTCTCAACCCTGTGCATGCCTCACCTAATTTCAACCATCATTTATATAGAGCCAATCTGGCTCATCTATAGCCCCCTCATAATCTCCTCCTCTGAAGTATTTTATTTTTTGTCTTAAATTCTTCATTTTTGACATATAAAAATTGTATATATTTAAGGTGTACAACTTCATGTTTTGATATACATTGTGAAATGATCACCAGATTTCAGCTAATTAACATTTCTACTGCTTCTTTATAGTAACCATTTTTGTATCCTTTGATCATCACCACATTCCTCCCCTCCCCACCCAACTCTGGCAACCGCCATCCTACTCTCTGCTTCTGTAAGTTTAGCTATTTTAGATTTCACATATAAGTGAGATCATGCAGTATTTTTCTGTGTCTTGCTTATTTTACTTAACATAATGTCCTCTGGGTTCATCTGTGTTGTCCCAAATGGAAGAATTTCCTTCTTTTTAAAGGCTGAATAATATTCCATTGAATATACACCATATTTTCTCTATCCATTCATCTGTCAAAGGAAATTTAGTTCATTTCCATCTTGGCTATTGTGAATAACATATGATACTGTGAATATGAGATAGCACATGGGAGTGCTAATTCTTCAAAAAACCATTTTCAGTTCCTTTGGATATTTACCCAGAAGTGGGATTGATGGATCATATGGTGGTTCTACTTTTAATTTTTTGAGGAAACTCCATGCTGTTCCCCATAATGGCTGTATGTACTAATTTACATTTCCACTAAGTGTACAAGGGTTCTCCTTTTTCCACATCCCTGCCAACACTTGTTATCTTTTGCCTTTTCATAAGTAGCCATCCTAACAGGTGTAATGTTGTTGGAGTGAGCAGGACTGAAGCTATGTTGGGACCTAAAACCACCTGGGTTGTGGGGGGGCGGGTAGTTTTAAAAAGGACAGTTTTTTTCTCTCCACTCTTTATTCCCACCCCCTGACTTTCTTATCTTGCTTGCTAAATAGGAAAACAAGGCTGAGAAGCTAATCAGTACTTTGCAAAGCTAACAGTTCTTTGAGACTTGTAGAGTTTTCAGAAGTGATCAAGGCCAAAAGACTGGAAGCTGACCTTGGGCACCAGCCAAGTCAACCAGAGCTCTGTGAAGCAAAAGTACACAAAAGACTTTACAGAAGAGTTGATTCCACTCTGGAGCAAATCAAAATCTTGCAGGCCCTCAGATAACAGCAAAGATGATAACAAAAATTAGATGAGGCCTTGGTGAGACCCTGAACCTGACTCATAGACACGGACCCCCAGCAGCCCACATACCCTTCCCTCCTACTTTTCGTTTCCTATGTTCCATTCTGTCAGCCCCCTCTTTAAAAACCCCTCAGTAAAAATGAGTCTTTGAGATGGCTTTAGCCTGGCCATTCTCCTTCAGATTTACTGGAGAGATTAGGTTAGGCTTAGCCTAACATCTCTCCTCAGGTCATTGGTATTCTTGAATAAAAGCTGACTTCCATTTTCACCAACATTTGACTTTTGCATGGTTTGCTTTTGTCTGGGAACAGGCAGCTGGACCTGGGAATTTGGTAACAATTTGGGGAAGCCTCAGCCAGTAGCAGAGTGGCCCCTGTTTGTTTCCTTTGCTGTGCAGAGCTTTTTAGTTTGAAGGGCCACTATTATTTCTACTTTAAAATCCTGACACAAATGCTCAAACTAAGTGGTGCTATAGAAATACCAAACTGTTTTTATAACCTGAAACTGGTCATTTTTATTTAAATTCTAAATGTCAGAATAAGATTGCCAATATTTCTCTTTGAACACTATTAAGATCCTTTAATATATAATAACCTTTTATGTTAAAATGTGGGGAGGGAAGGAGATCTTCCAGGTTGACATGGATTTACAATACAAGTGCACTACCTGAGACTTTCCATGCTTTCCCAGTCTAGGCAGAATTCAAACTATGAAAGCTGCCACTAACAGCAATAGCAGAAACTTACGATGAAAACCCTAAAGTGGGGCTGGCCCGGTGGCGCACTGGAGAGTGTGCCGCTTGGGAGCGCGGCGGCGCTCCCGCCGAGGGTTCAGATCCCATGTGGAGACCGGTTCCCGCTCACTGGCTGAGCGCGGTACGGGTGCAACACCGAGGGTTGCGATCCCATTGCCGGTCACCGGTACGGGCACGACACCGAGGGTTGCGATCCCGTTACCGGTCAGTAAAAAAAGACAAAAAAAGGAAAAAGAAAACCCTAAAGTGGATATTTACTTTCACACAGGGTATATGTCAAGGTAGGGTGAGTCATCATGGCATCTCACTACCACAGCTCTGAACCAGATGAGAACAAAGAAAAGAAGAGGAAAAACAACCTAAACTTATCTTTTTCTTCACTCAAGTATTTAATGGGTATCTACTATGGTACATACTATTAAATATGTTGTGGTAGTGGTAGTGGGTATGCAAACTGAGTAACTTATGACCCTTGCCCTCCATATGATTATAGTCAAATAGAAGGAATTAAGATACACTAAGAGGGCTGGCCGGATAGCTCAGTTGGTTAGAGCACAGTGTTGTAACAACAAGGTCAAGGATTTGGATGACTTTACTGGCCAGTTGTTTTAAAAAAAAAAAAATTAGATACATTAAAAGAACCAAAATACAAGCCAAAATGTGAAAGGTATTAAAATCAATATAAAGTATTGCACAGATTCCAAAGAAGATTACTTGGCAGGAGGAAGGGGGCACTTAATAAAGGAGGCACTCTTTGAATTAAGCTTTGAAAAAAAAGAAAGACTGGAATGAGAAAATATTGAAAGAAGAAGATACTTTTAGGTAGAAAGCAGTTAGGTAGGCAGAGGCAGAGAGGTAAAAAGGGATGAGCATAATCAGAGAACACAAGCAATCCTGTTTAAATAAACCTAAAATGATATCCTCTTAGAGCATAACAGGAGATAAGGCAGGAAATATAGACTTACAATATGAGACCAAGACAGATTTTGATACCAATGTAATAGTTGTTTGACTTTATTCCGTAAGTGAAAGGGAACTATGGAAACCTTTCTAAATGAGAACCTGACAAGCTCAGATTTGTTAAAATATTGAAAAGACAAATTTGATAAAATAATTGAGTATATAAATTGAAGAGAAAGGAATAGTCAAACAGCCAAAGTTTCCCCCTTAGGTAACTGGAAAGGTGAAAGTGCAGATAAGAGGCATAGGAAAAGCTGTAGAAATAGATCTAACAGATAGAACAAATGTGTTCAGTTTTTAATAAATTCAGTCTTGGGTGCCAGTGGGACACCCAAGTACAGTTTCATAGCAGTTATAAATACTCAGCAGAAAAGTCACAACTGGGGAGATAAATTTGGGATTTATCTATATGTAGTTTATAGGTAAAGCTATATAGCTGAAGAGATTGCCTAAGAAAAGGAAGAAAAAGTAATTGGAAAAAGAGCAAACCAAGGAGAGATTCTAAGGATATAGTGACCTTTAAGAGCATGAAAGAGGCAGAGAAGGAAAAATCAAAAATTCTGATCCACCATTACCTTCAGTGGCAGGTTCTGGTATACTTTTTTCAACTTTTCTACATATTTAAAGTTTTTCATAAAAAATAGTTAGAAAAATATGTTTGCAATCCATGTATGTTCTTGGTACCTTTGTCAAAGATCAGTTGGCTGTGACTACATGAGTTGATTTCTAGGTTCCCTATTTTGTTGCATGGGTCTGAGTATCTGTTTTATGCCATGCTGTTTAGGTTACTATAGCTATGTAGTATAATTTGAAGTCAGGTAGTGTAATGCCTATGGCTTTATTTATTTTTTGCTCAGGATTGCTTTGGCTATTTGCGGTCTTTTTTTGTTCCACATGAATGTCAGGATTGTTTTTTCTATTTCTGTAAAGAATATCACTGGTATTTTGATGGGGATTGCATTGAATGTGCAGATCACTTTGGGTAGTATGAGCATTTTCATGATATTAATTCTTCCAGTCCATGAGTGATGGAGTTTGGATGTGTTGTTTCCTCCAAAACTCATGTGGAAATTTGATCCCCAATGTGGCAGTGTTGGAAACTGATTGAGTCGTGGGGGCAGATCTCTCATGAATGGATTAGTGCTCTCCCTAGGCAAGGGGGGATTAATGAGTGAGTTCTTGCTCTATTAGTTCCGACAAGAGCTAGTTTTTTAAAAAAGACCCTAGCACCTCCTCTCTCTTGCTTCCTCTCGCCATGTGATCTGCTTATACCTGCCGCTTTCTGCCATGAGCAGAAGCAGCCTGAGGCCCGTGTCAGATGCAGCTGTCCCAGAATCGTAAGCCAAATAAACCTCTTTTCCTTATAAATTACCCAGTCTCAGGTATTTCTGTTACAGAAACACAAAATGGACTTATACAATCAGCACAGAATGCCTTTCCATCCTTTTGTGTCCTCTTTAATTTCTTTCACATCCATATGTAAAAGAATTAAACCAGACCTATACCTCTTGCCATATACCAAAATCAACTCAAAATGGATTAAAGACTTAAATATAAGCCCTGAAATTATAAAACTCCTAAAAGAAAATATAAGGGAAACACTTCAGGAAGTAGGACTGGGCAAAGACTTTATGAACAAGAACCCAAAAGCACAGGCAACAAAAGAAAAACAAATGGGATTATATCAAACTAAAAAGCTTCTGCACAGCAAAAGAAACAATTAACAGAGTGAAAAGACAATCTACAGAATGGGAGAAAATATTTGCAAACTATGCATCCAACAAGGGATTAATTATCCAGAATATACAAGGAACTCAAACAACTTAATAGTAAAAAAACAAGTAACCCAATTAAAAAGTGGGAAAAGGAGCTGAATAGGCATTTCTCAAAGGAAGATATACAAATGGACAACAGACACATGAAAAAATGCCCAACATCACTAAGCATCAGAGAAATGCAAATCAAAACCACACTGAGATATCATCTTACCCCAGTTAGACTGGCTATTATCAAAAAGACAGAGAATAACAAATGCTGGTGAGGATGCAGAGAAAGGGAACCCTCCTACATTGTTGGTGGGACTGTAAATTAGTGCAGCCACTATGGACAACATTATGGAGGTTCCTCAAACAACTACACATAGAACTGCCATAGGATCCAGCAATCCCACTGCTGGGAGTATACCCAAAGGAATCAAAATCACGTCAAAGAGATACCTGCACTCCCATGTTTATGGCAGCTCTATTTATAATAGCCAAGAATTGGAACCAACCTAAATAACCATCAACAGACAAATGGATAAGGAAAACATGGTATCCATACACAATGGAATACTACTCTGCCATAAAAAAGCATAACATTCTGCCATTTGCAGCAACATGGATGAACTTGGGGAAATTTATGTTGGATGACTTGGGGAAATTTATGTTAAGTGAAATAAGCTAGGCACAGAAAAAAAGACAGCATATGTCCTCACGCATAAGTGGGAGCTAAAAAAAAAATAAGCAAGTAAAGAAAGATACAACAATCACAATAATTTGTTGAACTTTCAAAAAGAGAACAGAATGGAAGCCACCAGAGGTGGCAAAAGGGGAGGGAGAGGGGAGTTATTGAGAAATTACTAAAGGGCCACAAAAATGACTACATTGTATAATGTTGAATATACCAGTTATCCTGATTTGTGCATCACATATTGCACACAGGTATTGAAATTCAATGCTGTACCCTACAGATATGTACAAGCAATTATGTTTCAATAACAAAAAAAAAAAAGAAAAAAGAAAAATATGTACACAATCAAACTCTCTAAATTGTTTTTTTAAAGGGAAATATTTCAGTAACTGTTTTGTTGCTTTCTTTTTTAAATGGAATTCAAACAGACATCACTCCCTCCTTGCACAATATATATAAACACTTTAGAAAAATGACCTACATTAACACCAAGCTATTTTACATTTCATGCTTCTGTACCTTTGCTCATGATGCTCCCCTGCCTGTAAATCTCTCCCATCCGTACCGTTCCCTAAATCTTACTTATTCTTTAAAATCTAGTCTTATTATCATGTGTAGGAAGCATCCCTGAAGCCTCCTGAACTACTATGATTAGTAACCTACACTTTACTTATTCTTTAAAATCTAGTCCTATTATCATGTCTAGGAAGCATCCCTAAAGCCTGCTGAACTACTATGATTAGTAACCTATGCATACCTTATTCTGCAAAATCTCACAATAATGTTGATCCTTTGAGGGTGATATAACTGTCCCTGAGATAGAGAGGTAAATATTTGCTCAGACTCAGATATGTAAATAATGGTGCTGCAAACTGAACTAAAGTCTATAGACCACAAACCCCATTACGAGGATTCTTTCCTCATGCTCTATGACAAGCAGATGCTCACAGACCCCTTCAAAATAGAAAGGATGCTACAACTTCCATGACAAGTCCAAAAAAAAATCTGAGACATATGGTTCATGCACAAACAAAACTTTTCAGAGGCAACATAAAGCTAAAAGGTGTCACCAAGCCCTGCTTTGCTAACACACTGAGGGATCATTTATTTCCTGGCATAGTAGAAGAAAACAAAATCAAGAAGCCAGATACCTTTTCAGTGTTGGCCAAGAATGACATCAACATGGCCTCAAGTTCCTATTTAATAAAGTATGCCAAGATAGATTAAAACCTTATATGATTATAGTTTCTCATTTCAATTTTAGAAACTCCATATACAAAGGAAAATCAATAAATACGGCAAGACTACAGATGAGAATTGTTTCTGAGTGTACAGCATAACAGAACTTCTATACCTCATTCATATCAATGAATATTTACTAAGAACCTGATACATGCTCTGTACAGAATGTCAGGGTAGGGATAGGATGGGTGACTGTTAATAAAGTTAGTAAAATAATCCCAGCATTGAAGAAAACAATCTATGTGAAGAGGCATGAGTGGAAGATAAGAAGTAATTAGAGAATACAGTAAATATGACTAAGTGACAAACTGTGTGGCAGAGACCATTTAAAGAAAAGGAGAGTCGAAGATAAGTCAGTATAGGTGAGGAGATGCACAGAAATAGAGATCATACTGGACAGAAGGACAGCATCTGTCAAAGCACAAGAAAGGATAATGGGTTTGATGGCAAGCTGGTCTTGGCTGAGTTAAAGATTAAGAGAAGCAGGTATGAGGCAAGTACTTGATTGGGATGCACCTGCATTGGGAAAGCCTCCCAAAAAGTCAAGCAGATCAGTTTAGACTTGATTTGGTAGGCAAAAAAAAAAAAAAACAAAAAAAACCTATGTTAGTTTCTGGGAGAGAAGAATAAAAAAGCATTTTTGAAGACAAAAACGGGCAGTTCATGTTGCATGAACGATAGGATAGGGAGTAAGTACATGAGAGCCAAATAGGAGCCTTCCTCACCAAACCAAATCCAGTACGATTAGATCCAAATGAATGAGGTGATAAATGGCACCATCATGGGAAGGGGAAAATCCAAAAGATACTTCAAAGGAGTTATCAACAAAGACCACTTAGAAGCAAACTGAGAAAGCTTGCTAAAGAAATAAAAAAGCATTGGCTCTAACAATATCATTTTCTTTTTCAAAAAAACATAAGGAAAAGATTATTAAAATATATTTATGCTCATTTTCCAAATAAAGTTGTTAATTTCAATGCAGATCTTACAAAGTAGACCCCATTAAAACTAACCTTCAAATTCAGAATGTGATCCATTAATACAAAACATCTTGGCTGCTTCAAAGTAAGATCAACAGGTCCCCCTCTCTGCTGAGGATCCCAGTTCAGCATCAACTGTAGCCAGTTTTCCATGGGTTCTACTATTAAACTAGAAAACGTATAAAATAGGGTAAAAATCATTATGTTCCAATTTTCCTTTAGTATTGTTAAAAAGATGATTTTATAGGTTGTCCATTTCCTTTCCCATCATTTTTCTGTACCATTTTATATCTTACTCTCAAATAATTCATGAAATGACAAGAGACAAACTTTTTTCCATAAAAACCCAAAGACCCACATATGTAAGTTAGTTAACTCCAATAGATGAGTACACTTTCATCCTCCAAGGAACCTATTTACTTCATTATCCCAAGAGGTACTCATCACAAGTGGCTACTGACATTGACTATTTATTTAAAATTCAGTTCCTCAGTCACACTAGCCAACTCTCAAGTGCTCATAAGCCTCACGCGGCCAACACAGATATAGAACATTGCTATCACCACAAAAAGTTCTACTGGATAATACTACCTGAAATAAAAAACTACTTTACTGTTCTTTTGCAATCCTGGAGAAACTAATGCAAGCTTCATCAACTAAAACACACTTACCTACAAAGGCTATTTGGTTGAGGTAAATGGCTACTAAACCGAACTTCTCCTGTCATCTCTTCACATGCAAATATACATTTAGGATCCTTCTTCTTAATCTTCTCATGCCTATAAAAACAAAAGCTACCTCAGTTGATAACCAGATTCTCACAAACACTCTACAATTTCTTGCCATTTAATGTTATCCAATTGTGTGTTCAAAAGACAGTTATCCCATTAAAGAAAGAAAAATAAAAGCAGATAACTGAAAAAATTTCCATTCCCATTAAGCATGTCAAAGTTCTTATCTTTTTCTTACCAGGTAAATGGCTGCAGATGATGCAAAAAAGGCCTATATCCAGCAATGCATTCAAACACCATGGTCCCAAAGCTCCAATAATCAACAGTGGCTGTGTAAGGCTTATTCTCAAAGAGCTCTGGGGCCTTAAAAAAAGAAAATGCTTTAAATACCAACACTATAAGGGAAAGGCTACTTTATTTTTGAAGTACAACATTCATGACCTTCAGAAATAAGAATGAGAATATGATACACTTAAAGTCAAGGAAACAATATATGTCTTACCAGATACTGCAGTGTTCCCACAAAAGATGTGCACAGACTTCCTTGATCAATGTCTTTGGCATATCCCAGATCAATTATTTTATGCATTATCTATAAATTAATAAGACATAGTAAGTATTAAATGTTTGAGAAATATGAAAAGGGCAGGCAACAATGTCCTTATAAGGCTGTAGAGAGGGTGATGGTGAAGAGATTGGGTTCTGGAATAACAATTTTGTTTCAAGCCTGAGCACCACCACTTTAACCACGTGATCTTGATCAAGCTACTTAATCTGTTTCCTTGATAATGGCCTTATTAACAGTCCGTACTTCACAGAATTATTATTAGGATTCAATGATCAGGCTCTTGGCTTCAGCTTGTAATTAGAATGGAACTAGGATGCTAGAAACAAGAAAACTGCTCAAATTATTCTGATAAAAATGAACATTTTTAGGACTCAATTCACAATTTCTGGTTCTTCTCAAGATGACTCATTTAGGAATCTTAGAAATCAAGGTTTTAAATTTTAATTAAATATAGAACTTAGGATTTGGGGGAAGGAAAATGAGTTTTTTAAAAATTTACTTTTTTTTTCTTAAAGTAAAGTAGACCCAGGAGGTGTGTGTGTATGTTCTGGATGTGCTTCATAAGAATAAAACAGTAAGGGTTAACAAATTACTTACTGCCTACTATCTCTGCTAGACACTGTAATGGAAAAACAGATGTGAACAAGACAGGTACAGTTCCTTCTCTAATGCAGCCACTGTTTAGCAGAAGAGATAAAAAACTAAACACAGAACTACAGTTCAGTGTGGTAAAGACTGAAACAGAAAAAGTATAGAGGGCTATGTGTACACAGCAAGGATACCAAAGCTCAAAAACTGACTACACCAGAGAGACTATATTCAATAACATTTCTTCAAATTTCACCTACCTTTCCACCAACATCCTGAAGAACTATATTTTCAGGTTTTAGATCTCGATGTATAATTTTGTTTTCATGCAAATATCGAATCCCAGACCCTAAATAAAGTTTAAAATGTATTTTGAATAGAGAACACTGAGTTAAAAAAAGATCATCTCACATTTGTACAGATCTACTCTGATGTTCAAATTTATACGACCATCGTAACTAAACGACTAATAATATACAGTAGTTCAGCTTTCTTCACAGAAAATATGGTAACATTCAACAAACACTGCAGAATTATAATATATACTCAGTTAACTTATTAGAACTGACATTAAAAAGAAATGGAACAAGCAATTGAGAAAATCCCTATAACCCTTGTAGCCTTTTCCTCCTACCCAAATCACCCTCTTTACCTAAAGTTTGGCCCCCAGGACCTAGGAAAAGAAGCAAAACCAAAATATAAAGAGAAATAAATTCTTGGCTTTTGAGCTTCCTCCAAAGGCCTAGGTACTGGTTATTTTAGGGATTTTTCAGGAGTAATTCTGATTAAACAGAGATTTTCATCCTAAGAGTTGATTTGAGAACCTATTTCCCGAAGGGATGCAATTCCACTGTAAAGAAAATTACTATGTCAGTTGAAGGGGTGGGGAGAGTGAAACCAAATAAGGTAATTTCACACCATTTTTTAGCAACTGGAAAATCTATTAGACAAAAAAAGGTTGCAGTGTTACAACAACAAGGTCAAGGGTTTGGATCCCCATACTGGCCAGCTGCCAAAAAACAAAACAAAACAAAAAGTAAAAAAAAAAAGGGTTAGCCAAAAACAAAAAATAACAAAATATCCTAGTTTTAACTTAGCATCAACTATGATAGATTTTTATGATAATTTCTTACAGATGTTAAAAACCTATATGCTTTGTATATAGTACATCAACAATTCTGCTTAATTGCCAAACAGTATATAGAATCTTTTATGGACCAAAGGGGCATTAAATTACAATGGTATTTTAATACTGACTACATACCTATATCACTCAGTAGAGAAAGTATCTGGCTTTCTTTAAGTCCACAACAATTTTCTGGTTTGTTAAGTAGCTAAAGGAAAAAAAAAAGAGAGAGTCTAAAAATGTGTACTGCAAATTACATACATTAATCACTGTACTCTAAGAGAATACCCAAATGACAAAATTAAGCATGATAAAGAAACTATAAGAAGGGAAAAAAATCACCAAATCCATATTGAAGATATGTAAATTTCACATCAAGGCTCATAAAAGTAAAGATAAAGTGGCAAAAGTATTTGAAACTGGAAAAGGTAAGAAAATCTCACAGATACATATAAAAATAGCCATATGGGCACATTTAAAATGAGATAGGAAAGAAAGACTGCAATAGAGAAAACAACTTTTTTAATAAGCACATTAAACATTGATATTTTGATCTAACACCATCAGTATAGTCCCATCTTGCAAACAACAACAAAAATACACGTTCTAAATCAGGGGTCAGCAAATGCTTCCAGTAAAGGACCAGACAGTAAATACTTTAGGCTTTGCAAGCCATATGGTCTCTGTCATAATCAATTCTGCAGCTGTAAGAAAGCAGCGATAGACAATGTATAAAGTGGGGCCAGCCCGTGGCTCACTCAGTAGAGTGCAGTGCTGATAACACCAAGGCCATGGGTTCGGATCCCATATAGGGATGACCGGTTTGCTCACTGGCTGAGCGTGGTGCTGACAACACCAAGTCAAGGGGTAAGATCCCCTTACGGGTCATCTTTATAAAAAAAAAAAAAAGACAATGTGTAAAGAAATGAACATGGCTACATTTCAATAAAACTTCATTTACAAAACAGTAGCAAGCTATAGTTTACTGACTCTTATTCTAGATTATCATATTGGATGTGATTCAAACACTGCTAGTTTGTGATTTACTATCTCATCGTCTCAAAACATCTATACTACCTTCCGGAGATCTCCTCCAGAACAGTATTCCATTGCTAGAAGAGGCACATCATTAACCAAAAAATTCAGTTCCTCAGGAACCTCACAGGCTTTTACAACATTGGCATGGTCCAACCTAACAAGAAGGAAAAACATTATAATCAAAATATTTTTCCAAAGAAAAGGGACTGGATTTGAAATGGTAGTTAATTGGGGGGAGAGGGGTGGGAGATGGGGAAGGAAGACTGGTATTATTTATAATATGCTAATTCCTGATTTGTATAAATTAAAAATTAGTAATTTTTAAAGGGAAAATATACATAAAAATACCATCACTATTACTACTATTATTGGATAAGGGGCATAAAGAATAAGTATGATTTGTAATAATGAATATACTAATTTTTAAAAAAATTAGGTGTAAAAGAAATAAGAGTAGTGATTATTGTTTAATTAGAGAGTATAATAGATGAGCAATGCCTACGATCCAGAAGAAATAGATTTCTCTGCCTTCAGAGAGCTGAATCTGATAACTAGCTGATTTTTTTTTTTTGACTGATACTAAGAGATTGCAGTTTATTAATCAAAATAAATGATCCAAATTGCAATATCAAGAGAAAGTTGGTCCCATTTAAGCTTGGAAGTGAATTTAGGGAAAAGTAACTACTGTTTGAGTTCTTGGGTTGGGAGTATGACAGGTGACTCTGGTTAACTTAACTTCATGGGTGCTCTGGGGCACAACTGAGAATCTTACTCAGGACTCAAAACTGAGAGTTAAGTGCTCTTTACCTAGCTGATTTTTTAAAATAAACTTTCTTAATCATAATGTGATATTACTCTTTGAAATAGACACATATATTTGATAGGAGAGAAAAAATATGTTCCTGAGAAGCTTCTGAGGAGAATGGATTCCTGGCCTACTTCCCTATTATGACATCTGGCTGGGCTGCATAAGTAGAGAAATATAAGTCATCAATTATACTTACTTCTTCATGATCTGGATTTCATGGCACCATCGTTCTCTGTTTTTGGTACTTAGCTCTAGGCGACAAGACTTAATTGCTATTTTGAGATCAAGTTCCTGCCCAAAAAATAATAAATTAGGTTTTTGTGCAGATTTACTTGCTATCAAAGAAATGCCAACCTAGGGAAACAAAACTTTTTAGCATTACTAATCAAACATATTTGTCCACAGCTCTCTTGAGCTATTTTCAGATAAACTATAAGACTATCACATCAATGCTTTAAAGCTGACTTCAAACACACCATAGCACACAAGCAAAATGTGACTAAGGCTGGTCCCATAACAGTTCTCTTCATAACACTGTCTCATATGTACTGCTGGGAAAATACAAAGATCCTGTCTCCCTAACTAAGCTCCCTTTTCAGAGCTTAGTCAAGACAACTAAGGGCCCCAGCCCCAGCATAACTAAAATGGAGAGGATAATTCAGAGCTCCCTGGCCTTAGAACAGCAAGAAATAGTTTTAATATGACCAAGCCTATCAAAAAAAACCTCCAAAATTAGATCTTAATCTTTACATTTCAAATGACATGAAAAAAAAAATCCTAACAATGACTGAATTTCTGTTTCCACATCTGTGAAATGAATTAACAGTTCTTGCCTATGACTAGTAATTTAGCCAATTCTGACTAAAATTAAACCCATCCTGATGTACATTACAGGAAATAGCCAGACCTCATCATATTCTGACGATATTAATAATGCAGCCCAGGAACAGCAGTCAGGGCCAAACACACTACGCTATGTTTCTGATAGTGAGGAGACTTCAAAAGAACTTCTAAGACGTGTAGTCTCTGACACAAACAAGAGGGTGGTAAAGGCTGTTTACGAATAAAGAAATAAGAGCCCAAGGGCTGGAAGGGGAAAAAAAAATTATAGGTAAGGAAGCAAGATGTATACTGGAATGGATAATCTGAATTGTAGGGTACGAAGGGCAGGAGACTAAAGAGAAGATAGTCTATGCACTGAGAAAGAAGAAAGAAACTAGGATGGACTACAAGCTAGCCTAACAACAGTCCTCACTCCCATCACCTTTCTTTTGTTATAAGTAGGTACTTGGTTGTAGCTATGTCCCATGTAAGCTTTTACCCCTATGGAGATAATCTGGAACAACCATGAACACTAAGCCCTAAATTCCCACATGAATGAGGCAGGAAGTTGTCTATTTCAGAAAGATCTCACCCTGCAAGATCCTTCAACTCTTTAGTTTATATATTTTACCTACTCTGTGAAATTGTACCCTTTCACAAAGAATGTTGTTCTATGGGAAGTTTATAGATGTCTGGCAGACAAAAAAAAAAAAAAAAAAAAAATTTGGTTTAAAAAAAACCCCATCACCTTTCTTTTGTTATAAGTAGGTACTTGGTTGTAGCTATGTCCCATGTAAGCTTTTACCCCTATGGAGATAATCTGGAACAACCATGAACACTAAGCCCTAAATTCCCACATGAATGAGGCAGGAAGTTGTCTATTTCAGAAAGATCTCACCCTGCAAGATCCTTCAACTCTTTAGTTTATATATTTTACCTACTCTGTGAAATTGTACCCTTTCACAAAGAATGTTGTTCTATGGGAAGTTTATAGATGTCTGGCAGACAAAAAAAAAAAAAAAAAAAATCTGTGTTAAAAAAAACTGGAATATCCTGGAGATGAACAGCAGTGATGGTTGTATAACAATGTGAATGTACTTAATGCCACAGAAATGTCCTCCTAAAAATGGTTAAAATGGTAAATGTTATATATATATTACCACAATAAAAAAAGTTGGAAAATACTAAGTTAAGTTAGTTTCTTTACTTCTCACAACTTTTAACATGCTAATTTGGATAATGAATCACGAAATAAAGGAATATTATATGGAGCATTTACCCAAAGTATTTGACCATAGTATCTTTTTTTCAAAAGACCTCACAGGATTAGTTTTTCCAAACACATTTAAGAGAAGTGCTCCCCTATTCCCTGGGAAGAGTTCTTTGGTTACTTTGTCATGCTTCCATATCACTTCGCAAATACCTTCATTATATAGGTTACCACATTTTACTTTGTTTCTTTGTCTATCTCTCTCACTAAACTTGAAATCTCCTCCAGGGCAGAGAATACTGTTCTTGTTGGTTTTGGCACCATCAGCACCCAGCACAGCAATCAGCTAAATAAACCTTTCCTCTTCCTCATTGTGCTTTAAGAGGTGTAGATGAAATACTGAGACATGGCTTTCACCAAAACAGGAGGATCTTGAAAGCTGTAAATGCAAATCCTAAGTCAGGCTTAGGAAAAGAATAATGCTGTTTCCAAGTCTTACTGTAGAGTATTCTTTCTCTCCTCACTACAGGACCAATTGTCAAATGTCCCAGTTTTGAATAAGGGCATTGTGATCAACTGGAAAGTTCTTGAGAGATCTCTAAGATTCTAGAGGGACCCAAATCTCTTCCATTTAAAAAGAGATGAATTCCATAGAGAAGGAAAATAGAATGGTGTTGCCAGGGGCTAGGGGAGGGGGAAATGGGAGTCACTGTTTAGTGGGTACAGTTTCAGTTTGGGAAGATGAAAAAGTTCTGGAGGTGGATGTTGGTGATGGTTGCATATCAATGTGAATGTATTTAATGCCACTGAACTGTGCACCTAAAAATGGTTAAAATGGTAAATTTTCTTATGTATACTTTACCAAAATAAAACAAAAAGTGATAAAATCATCCATCCTGAGCCAGGAACCAAGAGAGGAAGTCACAAAATCTTGCCAGCATGCATACTTTTCCCCTTATAATTAGGCTGATGGGCAGGCTTAGATAACACAGGCAACATTCTGCTGGAAGCATTTGGCTCCTTCTTTTCTTTAAGCGTGTTATATCCCTTCGATGTTGAGAATTATTAAATTTACTACTTGTCTGGCTATCAGAGTACTTAATGCCTTAGTCCTTCACCTTCCATTCCCTCTCCTTCCAAGATTTCCTCCTATACTCTATCTAGAACCTGCTTCACAAAATTTCCTCAGTTCTACCGGTGACATTTGTCATTCTAATTGCCCCACAAACATGTCTATTCCCCCAAGGTAGACTCTCTGCCCATACCCATGTTTCTTAAGACAGCAAATTACGATTTCTCCTCTTGAATTCACTTCTCTTTTACAAGCCAAGTACAGGCATTTTAGTGATATCTTAACCACTCACCTTGTCCCATATATTTTTCCATTCAAATTCATCCTTTACAAAATAATCTTCCTAGAATACCACTTTTATCTTGGCATTTCCTTTTTTATGGCCAATTAATGATAATGAAGATTATGATAATGGCACCAACAACATAGAAGCAGCAGGAGCTAATGTTTGTGGGCTTTCACATGCCAGCGTGAAAGCTTTACATACGTTACCTTATTTAAGTCTCAAACAGACCCATGATGTATATGCATTATTATACCTGTTTTACAGATAACGAAACAAAAGCTATACTGCAGGCACTATGAATCCAGGGTCTATTCACTTAAAATATCCTTCAGGAAAGCACGAACCCCTCAAATGGCAAGTTGTATGGATATGCGTCAGTGTGGATATGAATCTGTGCATTTTTCTGGGGAAAGGGTTCATAGCTTTTATTGGTATATCAAAAGACATGACTCAAACATGATTACTAACTGCTCCTACAACGGTTAAATATTTTCGGTTAAATCAAAGTAAAATTCCTGAGTTTGATGTTAGCTGTCTTCCACCCACTAGAGCCCCCACACACACACACACACTTCCAATCTACCTCCTTCCTTTAAAAGCCATGATCATTTTTACCAGCTCGCCTTCATACTGTTCCCTACTTGGAATGGATCCCCAATTCCAAAGCCTACCCATGCTTCCAAAGGCTTCACTCTGAGCCCATTACGAAGCCTTCCTTGTCTACTCCAGTCCCCACTGATATCACACGGCCTCCAAGCAAGCAAGCAAGCGCACACACACACACACGGACACCCACATTCCAACAGGCAGCCCCTCCCCTTCAGCCCCATTTTCTCATCCATTCGTGCTCACACATACACACCGTAACACTGTACATTCACAGAAAGACATACACACATTGTCATACTCACTAAACACCTGGTCACACCTTGACACTCTACCAAAGTTTCCCCTAATAGCTCTATCTCACCATACTGCCCCACCTCAGACACAACCTGGGACTCAGTCACCCCGGCTCACAAGCATAGCATCACACACACACACACACACGCTCACTGGCACACACACACACACACGCTCATTGGCGCGCGCGCGCGCGCACACACACACACACACACACACGCTCACTGGCCCACAAATATTTGCCCAGGGTCCCACCGACAATGTCTCACACACTGACAGCACCGCCACCGCCGCTCCCTCTCGCACCCCGCCTCACCCGATGCTGGTACAGACAGACGTTCCCGAAGCCGCCGGTGCCCAGCCGCTCCCGCATCTCCCAGGGCCCGCCCGCACCCGGCCGCAGCCCCGGGGGCCGCTCCATGGGGCGGGAGGGCAAGCGGCCTCAGGATCCGCCGCTGTTCCAAGGCCGGTTCCGGGCCGCCGAGGCTCGCGCGTCTTTCTTCTCGCGAGATGCATACGTCATTTCCGGTAACTGCCGCAGGACAAGTCCCACCTCACCTTCTCGCCGGCAGAACCCGGCCGGCGAAAGGGTGAGAAGGTGTGTGTGCTGCTCTTTGTCAGTTGGTCTCTTAAGTCTCCTGGGCGTTTTCTTGGCTGAGAGGACCCAGTTGTGTTTTCCTGGTCTTGAGAAATATAAGATCTCTGCAAGCCCTAAATTCCCCTCAAATCACTTTCCAAACCTGTCTCGCATTTGTCTTCTGAATTTTACATAGTCTCCACCCCGTCTACACTTCATTGGTGGCAGAGGCCACCGATGACTTAAATACTGCGCAATTCTGGACCAGCTAACCGCTACATACATACATACGTACATACATTCTGCAGAATCCGAAAGACTCGAAGGAATCCCTCGCTAGCAGGCCCACCGATGCATTAGCCTTCGTAGTTCGCCATGACTGCCAGTTCACCTGTTCCAGCATCTCCCCTGTAATCCCAAACGATTCAAGAATGTGACACTGTTCAGAGTAAAGAATGTTCCTCTGGACTTCGGGCACTTTTTCCTAAATAACTCACGGAGCCTGCTATCAGGCAGTCCTCCAGTTATGGGTTTGCCAGTGAGGTACCACTTCATTGTGGGAATTGTTTATGCTGCGTGCTGCAGGACCGCTTGGGCAAGCTTCGGGAATGCTGATGGTGAGACAAGAAGTGCTTCCTGATGGTGGATTGCCTTAGCATAGGTGAACCAGCTTCCGGTTTTCCATTTGAAAAACCTGCTTCACAGAACTGGGGAATCTCAGTAACTCCGCATATAAGAATCAGCGTGGAATCAAATTCTCAAAGAAATCTGTCAGCACAACCAGAATGTTGAGCACTGCATGATACGAAGTTGATGTAGGTCATCAGTAACTGGTGGTAAGAGTCTGGTTTCCATATGTGCATAATTTCCATGGAGCTGGAGTATCAGACTTGGAGGTGATGGCAAACAGTGCCCCTGAGAACACTTCCCTTAGAGTTGGGCAGACTGCACAGAGGATTGTGGTGCAGATTGTCAAAACACTATGAAGCCCTCTCATTTGCTGTGGGTACAGCATAACTAGTGCTGGAGTGTGTCCAATCTCCACAGGTGTGGCCACAATCTCGTAATTCTCAATCAGAAGAGTTAGGGAAGAATACCGAAGATACTGATGATTGGGCTGACCCTGAAGTGGCCGTCTTTATGGAAACCAGGTTAGTTCCCGTAGTTCAGTCTTTAAATGTCACCTAGGATACTGCATAGTTTGAGTTTTTTTAGAATCCTAGGCCAGTTGACCCCAAGCTCCACAATCTTCAGGTTTGCCAGTCTGTTTTTTCACGTGTAAAGTGGAGATAATACTGTACCAACCTCAGAGATTTTGTGAGGATTAAGTGAAAGTGTCTGGGCCACTTAAGTTCCCAATATATAGGAGCAATTATTTTTCTTTTGGTTTCCAAGATATAGCATTTTCCTATGATCTCTCTCCACTCCTTCTCCATGTACTTGTTGGATCACTGTATTTCCAAGCACTCCTTAAATACTGGTATTTCTCAGGTGGTCATCTTCAGTTCAGGACTATATTCACCCTATCTTATTTTCATCCATTCTCATAATTTCACCTATGGCCTATACCTTGATGATCTCCAAAGCCCTATTACCCACCTAGATCTCCATGAGATTAGAATTATCCAATAACACACTGGACATATATTAGATATCTCAAGCATCTAAAACAACATATCCAAAACAGAACTCATCTTTTCTTAAATCTACCCCTTCTCTTGCCAATTAGACTGTAAACTCTGGGACAACTGGTACTATGTTGGGACACAACTATATTCCTGGAGCCTAGAAAAATGCTTGGCACATAGGAGTTAAATATCTGAAGGACTGAATGGACTCTTATATATCAATAAGACAAACACTATAAGAAAAGAAATAGCAAAGGCCTTGGGTCCCTTCTCTACCCTGTGTGATTCTGGGATAACAGGTGGGCCTAAAGCTCTGGCCCATCCTATTACACACACTATCTCATTTCAATAGTCATAGGCAACATGAACACAAGACACTTCTCAACCATGGAAAAGCATTTGGATTTTATTTGATAGTTTAAAAGTTTTTGAAAATGTTGATAAACAGAAGCTACACTTGGAGCTGGATGACAGACATGCTTTTTAACATCCTAGTATTTCTGACCTAGAATGACTTTCCCCCAGAAATACTCAATCCTAGGCCTCTTGCTGCAGGCAGGTTCCATGAGAATGCACAAAAAAGAGGCAAGGAAACAGTCCCTATGGGGAGACTGTAGTTTCTTTAAAAACAGGCTGCTACTACTTCCTGTGAAATTCATGAAGTGTCCTTCCTTTTGCTTAGTCATCCAAAGTGAAGTCAAAAGGCTCAAAGGCTTTCCGGAAACGGCGTGCCAGCGTCTCCTCCTCTTCCTTGCTGATCTGACACTGCCTCCAGTCAGACTTGTCAGGAATATTAAGGATGGCTTCACTGGCCAGGACCTCCCTGCAAAAAAAGTATAAAGAAGTCTGTAAAGCAACATGACTACGCCAGTTGTCAGGCTGCGGTAATAGCTAATAGCTATGCCAATTGTATTGTCAAAGCAATTCATAACTAAAGCCAACAGGGCTAGGGCTCAGATCCTTCAAACCCGTTGTACAGACTGGGTCACCAGACCCCTCACATGCAGGTCCATGCTAGGTAATTGGGAAAGATCCCAGGAGCTGTTGGCAGACGACAGAAGCTCATGCAGCAGCAGCAGCAGCAGCTTACAGGTCCAGCAGCTTACAGGTTTGGTGGTGGCGGCAGCCTCTTGGAGGGTCCTGGAGGCACTGGCAGAAGCAGCAGCAACAGCCTCCAGCAGCAGTAGCGGCCTCCCCATGGCCCCCCGGGGGCATCCCAGGGGGTGGGGGAAGGCACCATGGATCAGAGCCACTCATCCTTTATACTTAAGTCCATAACCCAGGACACCTGGGTGCACATGCACAATTACATTAGACAATAACCAAGGAACACCTGGGCACACGTGCATATTTACATCAAATGCTCAGCACGATTCTGAACATCTGAGGGGCCCTGACCATTTTCCTGTATTTTCCCAACAAAGTCAAAAAAAGTATTAAAATGGACAGTATCAGCCTGAGACCCCCTCCTCTCTCTATTCCTCTCCAGCCAGAGAGCTCTCCTCAACATCACCGTAAGAAGGTATGCACATTTCTCTGACTTTGCTTATACTGTTATCCTGTCCTGAGTGCTATCTCTGCCATCCTATCTATCAAAATCATACCCATTTTAACTGATCGGCTCAGGTCCTACCTTTCCTGACCCTTCAAATCCTATTTACTTCTCCTTCTCTTATACACCTTGGAACTACTTTATTAGTACTTAGAGAAGCAACATGGCAGAGTAGAAAATGGCCAGCTCTGCTACTTGCTGTCTATGACTTGGACAGATTACTTCATCTCTCAGTCTTCGATTTCCTCACCTATGAAATGCAGGTAAGAACTCCTACTTACAGGGTTGTGTGAGGTACAGAGATAACACAATCAAAGCACCATGCTAGCTATGATTACTTCTTGCCTAAACTGTAGTTTTGTCATCCCAACTAGACCATGAGTTTGCTGAGGGCATGGTGCAGAGTCAGGCACCTAGTGACATACCTACTCTGATTTAAAATTTCTCTGCCTCTCCTTCTAGGGGACTCAGGCCCACACAGGCACAGCAGCACAAGCTCAAAAAAACAACTTATCTTAGTTCTCAGGGCTAAAGAACAACTACATACAGACACACACCAACACAAGCTACCTTCTAACTGCCATTGCTTTATATTTCTATTTATTTTGATATATTAGAAATAACTCTACTTATGCATCTATGTGGTTCATTTTCCGTGTTCCATTTACGGCTACAGTAAATAGGAGGGTTGGAAACAAATCACATAAGTCCTCTAAAACTCAAAGAACCTGAACTCAAGTTCCCCCGGCAAACCTGGAGCCTACTTTATATGTAAAATGAAGATAGAACCACCATTCTCATACAGCTGGAAAAAAATGTCTCTTCAAGTATTTTGTTAACTATGAATGCTATATAACTATAAATTAGTATTTTGAAAAATAATGTTGAGGGCCGGCCCGGTGGCGCACTGGATAGTGTGCCGCTTGGGAAGCGCGGCGGCGCTCCCGCCCGAGGGTTCGGATCCCACATACAGACTGGTTCCCGCTCACTGGCTGAGCGAGGCGTGGGAGCAACACCGAGGGTTGCAATCCCGTTGCCGGTCCCCGGTCCAGTACGGGGGCAACACTGAGGGTTGCAATCCGTTGCCGGACACGGAAAAAAGACAAAAGACAAAAAAAAAAAAAAAGAAAAATAATGTTGAGAATACAACTATCATAAGCACAAAACCATTCAGAGAATCTCCCTTTTGTGGGCTTTATATGCCTTTGTGTATCTGCAATCATGTGCCTATATCATAAGTGTCCATATCTGCACCTGTTGCTGAGGCAATAACAAAAAGATCACATCAGATGTTTAAGGCTCTTAATACACTTGTTCCCATTTAGCAATTAACATTTTGAACATGCAGACAACTACATTTACTGGATTTATCCAACGGGGCAATCTCTTAGAGGCTTTCCAAATTAGTCCAAGAAAGGTTCAAGACTCACTGAAAACCCAGTTCTAACTAGGAAAAAACTGGTGTAAATCACAGACACCAGCATCAGAAGATACTCTGTTCTGCACATTTTCTATTCCCCTCCACATCTGTCTCTTCTTGCCAGCAACTTCCTGTCTTCAATCTTTGCCTAACTTATACTACTCCCTGTATGGTTTTGTAGTCATGTTCTGCATGAGATGAGAAGCAGAAATGAAGCTTCCTCCAGGCCTTTAGAACACTACAGAATAATGAAGTTAAGACCTCAAGTTTTAGGACCCAACAGATTTGGGTTTGAACTTACCACTGTGTGACCACGGACAAGCTACCTAACCCCTTTAGAGCTGTGCCATCCAATATAGTAGCCATTACCCAGGTGTGGCTATTTAAATTTACATTCTAATTAATTAAAATTAAATCAAATTAAAAATTCAGTTCCTCAGTCACATAAGCCACATTTCAAGCGCTCAACAGCCACATGTGGGTAGTGATTACCGTATTGGACAGTGCGGATTTATACAGCATTTCTATCATTGTGAAAAGGGGGCACTGCTCTAGAGCCTCATTCTTCACATTTGTAAATTGGGATGACAGTACCTACCTTCAGAGTTGTGAAGATTAAATGAAGCAATGCATGTAAAGTTCCTGGCACAGTTCCTGGCACAAAGCATATGTTCAAGTAATGGCAGCACTTTACTCCCTCTGGCTGGAATGCCCTCACCCCAATCTTTGCCCTCTAAATCTCTCTCTCAGATTCAACTTCAACCCTTTCATGAAGCCTTTTGCAAAGTAGAAATCAGCTCTCCCTTCTCTGAATTTCTAAAACATACTGTTACTTTGTCATGGGACTCTTCACATTCTGCATCACATATGTAAAATCTGAATTGCCCTAAGATGATAGGTCCCTTAAGGCAAGGACTATTTCCTGTTTGGCTTTTTGTCAACTGTTCATGCAGCCCACCACTCTGTTCATAGTAGATCTAGTGAAAATACATTGAAAAAAAGAAAAATATACAAACCTTCCAAACTGCAAAGGAAAATTCTTTTTAATTCTGTGAAAAAGCTTCTCCCCTGTGTCAAGTTCAACATAAAAATATGCTGCTCCTGGCTGTGCAATCTAAAGTAAACAGAGTTGTATGAGGACATACAATATGCTTTTTTCATCTTTTTTTCTTGAGCATACTTTTTCCTTGCTAAATATGCTTTAAAAATCTAAAATCCTAGCTCATCTCCTATAAGCTCTAATTTGGCAAAGCAGTCAGTCTAGATGCAAAAGTAAAAGGATGTGTGAGTAGCTATAGATCCCAAGCTGCTTAGTGAAGCTGGAGTTTAAAAAGCCAGACTGGAAGATATTATCAATATCCTCCCAGTAGCACCCATCCTTCTAAGTTTCCACCTTAGGAAATTTCTAATTTCTTGCTCTTCCCAGGAAAGCACTAAGACTTTGCTGTAATGCTATCTTCATCTCTGGTGTAATCAATACCCTTTGCACTAGTTCCAAATTGCCTGCTGCCTATTTAACATTTTTGGAATGCCTTGATAGTACCTCAGGCTCAACATGTCAAAAACGAAACCTTGAACATCACCACCCCCTCCTGTTTCACCTGCTTGATGTCAGAATGCTCTGGGATTTCCAGCAGCTCTATCTGTTGCTCCTGGGCCTGGATAATGAAGGCATCTTTAATGTCATCAGTAGAGCAGCAGCTGAGTGGCACAGGAATGACCTGGGGAGGGTGGGATAGGAGAAATTCTTTGTAGAGGTCTGAGAGAGGTTGTACCAGTGCAGTCTGTGAGAAGTAACAAATCCATCACAGGGGTGGAGGAACACCCCTCAGCACAGACTCTCCTCAAACCAGACAGGCCTGTGTCAGCCTTAAGTCTGTAAGGACTTAAACTTATGAGATAGCTTTCCACATGTGGGAGCCAATCTCTAATGCAGGAAAGCTTGAGAGAGATCTGTCATCAAGCTTTTGCTAGCTCCTATATAATATATGTGGCAGAGTTAGGCCCATTTGAAAACTTAACAAATGTGCCAGAAAGAAAACCACCACAACTACAAACCGATTATCCATAAATAATCTCCAAATTTCTGAGCTGCTAGCCCCATGTAGGCTTTGAGACTACTTCCTACCCCTTAGCCTCCACTCATGCTGGGCCTCCACACAAAATACTCACTCCCTTCCAAACTCTTATCTAGCAAGCCCCAGATCTTGGAACCTTCCCCAAACTACTCAATCCTTTCCTAAACAAGGCACTTACTGTCTGTGCTGTTCACTGGTACTGAGCATGCACTTCCCTGTGAAATCTCTGGGGTTATCACCAGATACTCTTTAACCTTTTATCAGCACCACACTCTCCCGAGTGAGCCACTGGGCCGGCCCTCTCTTTAACCTTTTAAATGACCATTATTTAAATATTAATATGAAGATCCATATTAAATATTAAAGTTAAGCATTACTTAAAAATTTATTTATCAATATCAAAGTCCCCATAGCGCCCTTCCATGTTCCTGGGCAGAGACTACTTACCTGTAGCTGGAGGTGATGGCTCTTATAATTTCTCTCAAATAGAACACATCGTTTCCCTTGACTCTTAAAGAACTGTCTCAGTGTAGCCTTATACTTCTCTACCTCTTCCACCACTTCTGCTGAAAGCTCCACCACTGACTGGTAGTGTCCAATGGGCAGGATGAGGACATGATCATCGGATAAGCCTCCCTTGGCCAGGGCAAGATAGCACTGAAAAAGCAGCACACAGAATTGAGACATCAATACTACATGTATAATTCTCCAGGAAGAAAAGCCTATGCAAAGAGTGAGCCTTATGGTGTAGGAAAAAGTATTCAAAGGCTATTAATAGAAATTTGACCTTTATAAATCTGATTTAGAGGTTATAGCAACAATGTTCTCAAAGTATCTGCTGATTAGCAATTTCTTAAAAAGTTAAATATAAATTTACCATATGACCTATCAATTCCATTTCTAGGTATATATCCAAAAGAAGTGAAAACACATGTCCACACAAAGACCTGCATGCAAATATTTCATGCAAGTATTATTCCTTAATAGCCATAAAGTGGAAACAACACAAATGTCCATCAGTTGATGAATGGATAGACAAAATGTGGTATATCCATACAATAAAATACTGTTTAGCAGTAAAAAGGAATGAAATACTGATAAATGCTATGACATGAATGACCTCAAGAATATTATGCTCAATTAAATAAGCAAGACACAAGAGATCACATAGTATATGATTCCATTTATATGAAATGTCCAGAAAAGGCAAACCTATGGAGACAGTAAGTAGACTAGTTGTTGCCTGGGGCTGAAGGTGAGAACAAGGATTAACTGTAAATGGGCATGAGGGATCTTACAGGAGTGATGGGAATGTTCTAAAACTATCATGTGATGGCTGCACAACTCAGTAAGCTTACTAAAAAATACTGAAAATACACTTAAAATGGGTAAATGTTATACGTGTATTATGCCTCAATAAAATTAATAAAAAACAAATAGGCATCTCCTTCTCTGTAAAAGGTCCATGGAAATAACTCACATGTGTGCCAATGTTGACCACCAAATGTTTTTCCACTTCAGGGCTGGCAAGGCAAAACCAGCAGGGTCCTGGAGGCTGAGCTTCATGTGGAAGAAAGCCAAGTGTTAGTATGGTCGAAGCACTACACCATATAATCACTCTACAGAATTCAGCCTTGTCTGGTCTTTACAGTCTATAAAGACTGGTATACAGCACTGCTACAAAGGGCTGGGCCTTTTGTGCTCCTCGCTATGAACTCCTATCAGCATTTTCAATGAAATTAAACCTCCATTAGAAATGTTCTGAATTTGTAACCAATCCACAGGTAGGTGACCCACAAATGGATAATCACACATTTGACTAAAGTAGCACATGATAGGAAATACATTGAAATGAAAGAACACTGAACTGGGTGTCAGGAACTCCAGTTCTAGTCCCAGCTATGCCATTAGCTAGCCACGTGACCATGGAGAACAGTTTACCCTCCCAAGGTCAGCTTCTTCATCTTTGAAACAAGGAGTTAGAGAAAGAAGATCTCAATGAAATAGCTTTAAAGTCCTTCCTCCCAGCTTGAATATTCTATTATTTTATAAATCTACCTTGGTTTTTCAGGGTCTTTACCTCACATATTTTACAGACAAAAAGGAAAGGAACATTTTCCATAGTTCTTACAAGAAGAGCCTCAGACAGCCTCAAAGTCAGGCCATCTTTATATTATTGTATTTTTACTATTGGTCCTAATAACTCATTGTACAATTTTCCTCTGCCAGAAGAGGTTCTCTTACCAATGCTGCCTTCCAAACAAAACTCAAAATAACAGTTATTGCTCACATAGAAGACCTCTGGAACCAAGGAACTTACGAGGTTTGCGAGGCTGCTTTTGGTGAGGAGAAAATTTGTTATCTCTGCCTGTGGATGAACGCTTCCTTCCCTGCTTTTCATTTAAATCAAAGAAAAATTGACAGGTTGATTCTTCCTGGAACAGCCAAAGGCAGAAGAGTAAATATTATTAAGCTAACACTTAGACAAGCAGCCAACCATTCACATACAAGGTATTCCTTTCATATCATGTCTGTCCTCCCTCTCAGCCCTTTCTGCCTATTCTAAGGAAGAAAAATATCTTTCCAGTCTTGATGCCTCAACTCTCAGCCATACATCTCAGCACTTATCCAAGATAGTGCCAAATTCATCTCTTTGGAAAAACAAGTTAAAATGCAAGTTATAGAGCAATTCTTTCCTAAAACAGAACAATATGAACCCACCCAAATTCCTTGTGTAGTCCTACAATTTCACAGGTCAAATAAGTCTAATTCAGCTTTAATTAGAGATGAGAAGGCTGTTCATAAAGAAAGAAAAGTCTGAGAAAGCAGACCATGCATACTAGAAAGGGAAATTAACATCCATTACTTTAATGGGGGAAAAATTAATTACAGAAAAGTCTGCTATTAAGAAAATTTCTTGGGCCGGCCCCATGGCTCACTCGGGAGAGTGTGGCGCTGGTAGCGCTGAGGCCGTGGTTTAGATTCTATATAGGGATGGCCAGTGTGCTCACTGGTTGAGCATGGTGCAGACCGCACCATGCCAAGGGTTATGATCCCCTTACCAGTCGAAAAAAGAAAAAAGAAAATTTCTTCATAGTAAATCTTATTTACCCACTAGCAATCATTATAAAATCACAAATTATATAGCTACCAAGCAGCTGGATCCTTGCCAAAGAGCTAAGAATAGATCATCAACTTTAGACAAGGAAAGACTTATATGAAATTGTAACCCCAACATATGAATCAAGTTTAGACAAAGAAAGATTTAACATATAAAACTTAACCTCAAACTACAATAAAAAACACTGAGCTTAGTTGAAATCTACTAGGACTTTTTAAACATTACCATGATTTCTTGGGGGGGAAAAATTTAGATTCTAAGGCCTAAACTTGTCTTATGTACTAAACTGTAACCAGGAAAAATACTCCTGTAATGTGCAATTGTCCCAGAAAATACCACCCCTCAATAAGAACATACCTCAGGGGCAGGAATTTGCTTTCCTGTGGATACTCCCTGCCCCAATTTTCTGTAAGGGTTTTCAGTGACATCTGGAGGCTGTTTTACAAGTTCTGCTGCATTCATTAGTTTCATGGGAACAATACTGAATGCATAAAGATACTTTAGAGAAAAAGAACATAACATTAGGGAAAATACTATTTATCCAAATGTAATTAACCTATTTTATGGTGTAGATTTCACAGAAAGCATCTGAAACTCATTAAAATTAAAAGAGCAGCAACCAGCCCGTCTGTGAATACACAGTAAATCAGTTGCCAATTCTATGGCCTCTGAAGGAGCTAACCAAGGGCTGACAAAGTACTGAAGAACAAATAAAAGCCCCAGCCCTTACACAAATCAGGGGTTCTCATCCAGATAAGGGAATAGTCACTATAAGGCCCAAAGGCACTTGCTCTGTAACCCTTGAAGACAAACTCCTTCTGTCTCTGAATTCTTTATTTTTGTGTACTTTGTCAACAGAATTATGGAGCTACCACTCATTTCTTAATGACAACTACAATTAGACAACTCAGGGTTTCCCTCTCTGATATTATACAAATTCTACTATACATGCTGATAAAATTTTCTTAGGGACCAGTAGCAAAGAAGTAAATATATAAATATCTAGAATCTTAGACAAATCGTACAGACATTGAAAACTTTAGATAAGATATAAAGAGATGTTTAACCTCACGACAGATCAGAGAAATGCAACTAAATAACAATGATACACCATCTTTCATCTATCAGATTGGCAAAAACTTTAATAAAAATTTGACACTACCCAGTGAGAATGTGCAGAGGGAAAAAAACGATACACTGCTGGTAGGGTGTAAATTTGAACAAAAATTTCAGATGAATTTAATAATGCTTGCCAAATTTAAAAATGTGCATACCCTTTCGCTGAAGCATGAGTAGCTTATGGCTGAGGCTAACATGTCCCTGAGAATAAACTGATAGATTAAAAATACTATGAGTGCTATTCGGTTTGGAAGGGCAAATAAAAAAATTACAAATCTAAATTTGCTAAGAAAGAATTAGGCTTAAAAGCTTAAAATATTATGGAAAAAACCAAAATATGTATTTGCTTATCTTTTGTATGCACACTGTCTATGGCATGTTATAGTGGAATAATTTACAGATTACCCGCCTACTTTCCCACTGGACTGATGGTTCTAATTTTAGGTGTCTCAATCCACAATAGGCTGTTTTGGGACATAAGAAATCAGAAATACTCTCAGGGAAGTTAGAAAAACAACCTACACTTTTACCACCTACACTGTTTTCTAATACAAAGATAGATTCCAGGTATCACTAATATTTCCCAAGAGAAGCATTTAACAGGCAGACAATGAATGTCAACCTACCACCAAATTCTCAAATCTCTACCTTTTTCTTTTCTGGGTTTCCAACATTTGCCAGAGCTATGAACCGGGTGGCATGCTGTGCATTTTCCTGTAGAACGATGTGGTTTCTAGAACACATTTAAGAGATAACAGGTTACTGACACTTTTACTTTTGATTTGCAATTATGAAATATGCCAACTCCATAGGGCCATGAAAACAGCAGAGATCCTGAGTCCATTACCACAAGTCACATGATCTCAGATAAGTTACCTATCCATCTAGTAGAAGTTTATCCATCTAGATATAGCGTAACAAACCCTGTTTCACAGGGCTGTTGTAAGGAAGAGATGAAATTATGTCTCTAAAAAGCATCGAAACTTTAACTTTTGGTTTAAATGAGTTATAAAATTGGCAAAATATTGATAATTTCTGAAGTCAGGTGATAGGTACATAAGGGTTCATTTTGCTATTCTCTTTTTTTTTGGGTAATTAAAAGCTAAAATAATGAAAACTAAAGAGAAATGTGTTTCAAGTGAAAAAAAAATCCTCAAATAGTAATATATAGTATGATTTCATTTTTCTATGAAAAATATAAAAATACATGAGTATCTATGTCAAAGAAAAAATATGGAAACTGTATACCAAAATACTTTTTTGAGCTTTTCTATGTTTTAAAAATATTCTACCCGGGGCCGGCCCGGTGGCGCACTGCTACAGTGCGCCGCTTGGGAGCGCGGCGGCGCTTCCGCCGAGGGTTCGGATCCCACATACAGACCGGTTCCCG